CGAGATCTACATATCTACATGAGCCAATGCTTCCATATATCAAACACTGATTTCAAGAAAAAGTATTATATTTCTGAAAGTATTTTTATCTTATATTAAGGTGCCCAGAATTTTCAATTCATAAAACTGGAAAACAGCTAGATTTTCAGATCTTGCAATAGTGACATCACTTGTGTGCTGATAGTCAACTTCAGAGAAAATAGCAAAAGCCTTCATGAGTCATTCTAACTTGTGTGATATCTTCCCTGCTTGATAAGAAAAATTTATCTGTTGACTGACAGTTGTCAGATACTCAGTACTGAATAAGAGTATAAAAGTTATAGATTATTGAAAACATTTAAACTAGCATTTATGTTTCCCAAAAGGAAGTATTTGGGAAACTGTGAATAACATTCCAAAAACTGGGTTTTCAGTCTGGCTATCCTACCATTTGAGAAAATAAATTATGAAGTAAACAAATCTTAATATTTCCTTTTATACTTTGTTTTGAATATATAAGAGCATATTTATAATAAATCAGTTTTAAAATGCACCTGTATTTATTATTGTTAAGTTTAAAACACTAAAGATCATTTTCTGTAGTTGTGTATGTGATTTGAAATTCTTCTGTTACCTTGTACGTTTTGTGATTATTTCTCACAAGAACAGTGTTGGAGAAGAATGGTATCGGTTGAGAATAGCACTAGCTCCCGTCCTCCTGAAAATGAAGACCTTACACCATAGCCTGCCTATTCTAAATGATATAAGTAATGACATGATCTCCTTACTTAAAAACTTGAGAGATGATAAGAGTCATAAACTTGAAAACCTTCAGGAAGCTCTGTACAGACTAGTCCTTGAATGTGAGTTTTCTTTCTTCATGTTCATTAAAGTGAATTAGTGAACTTTATTGAGATAATTTTAAAATTTAATACCCATGAAATGCTTGATGATTAGAACTGAACATTTTATTTAGCATAAAGCATTAACCACTACTATAGAAACAAGTTAATAATTAAAAAAATAACTAACTCTGAGAATTACTCTGTCCAGTAATAATCGTAAATCATTAGAACAACTGACTACTGTGTTGTGTAATAATCATAGATTGTTAGAAGAGCTGACTACTGTGTTGTGAAATAATGTTAAATAATGTGAACAGCTGACTACTGTGTCGTGTAATAATCATAGATTGTTAGAAGAGCTGACTACTGTGTTGTGAAATAATGTTAAATAATGTGAACAGCTGACTACTGTGTCGTGTAATAATCATAGATTGT